TCGAATAGGTCCAATCTACGCACAACTTAAGTCTAAGTTTGGGCTGAGAAGGTAACCTATACATAGACCTAACCTAGATAAATGTGGCTCAACCTACATTAAAGTATGTCGTAGGACATCTTTTACACCCATAACAGTACAATTTATATATACATCTTTTTATCAACATAACAAAACATGCTACTCTATTACAAATACAAAACTATGCTATCAAAAAATCTATAGATTCATGGATAGATCAGCACAAGCAAGATCGGCAAACAAAATATATTGCTGAGATTCAAAAGCTAATAGAAAGGCTGTTGTAGAGATATAGATTTCCAAAGATCTCTATTATGGAAGATATATTCAAAAAGCAGAAAATATCAAAATCACCAAGATGGGGCGAGACGACAATGCTCGACCCACTATTCTATATGGCTTTTATTCATGGCTGCACCCAGACATCGCACCACGAATCACCCGCAATGTATGTAAATTTTAAAGAACAGGTAGAGAACAACATCATGGTTCTTTAATTTTCTGATTCTCATAGTTCACTTTATCCCTTCGTCGACGATTTTGGAACCAAACTTTGAGCTGAAAAAAAAATTAAATAAGTTCACTACTATGCTGCCTCCGTTATAAGTTTCACTTCAATTTTTTTGATTGAACTTCTCACAAAAAGTACTCTGGATATGGTAAAAATACCTAAATACTTCTTGAGATATTACACTAATGCGGACGGTCTCTAAATTCTGAAAATTTATGAGAAATGAATTGATTCTAGTCCAAATAATGAATATTTTTGTTGTGCTGGGACGATATACTAAACTACAGCTAATAAAGCCATTAAAAGCAGCCGCACAATGTTTCTCAGGGAGAGGATGACTCGAGTAGTTAAAAAGAGTATGAGATGCCGTTCGGGTTACTCCTAGCAGATTAGAAATTTTCCACAAATTTTATTGGCTTGTGGATTGGAAGTAAAACATTTATATTACGGTGACATTATATTCAACTACAAATTTCAGGGCTTTTCCTTTGAGTAGTGCGAGAGATTTAAACAGAGAAAGAGTACAATTGCAATGTTTGCCATAACTTTCTATACTCTTGCCGAGTAACTTAGGTTTTCTGAGTTGAATAATAAACGGCTGAAATGAGTTGTAAAGTGCTACAGATACAATTGACTGACAACAAAATCTAGATTATTTACTTCAGAAACAAAACTCTGTAAGTTAGATGTAGGCAGATTTCCCCTTGACGAGAACAAACAATCTAATAAAAATTTGGGGTAAAGAGCCACTACCCCTCAGTAATCGACGTAAGCTTCAC